ACCTAATTATAGTACTTTCTCTCATATTATTATTTTTAAATCTTAATACCTGCTTTAACTCTCTCGTTTTATACGTCTCTCTCTCTCTGTCTCTCTCTCTCTCTCTCTCTCTCTCTCTCTCTCTCTCTCTCTCTCTCTCNTCATCTGACTTTCTCTTTCTCAAACTATCTTTTCTCAGGCTCTCCCTCTCTCTCTCTCTCTCTCTCTCTCTCTCTCTCTCTCTCTCTCTCTCTCTCTCTCTCTCTCTCTCTCTCCGATCGCCCCCAAACTCTATTCTCTTTTGCACTCATCGTTCTTCCTCTTTTTTTTTGTTCTCTATCTATGTCACGTTTCAGTATTTTTTTATTTGTTTGTCTTCCTCGCTATTTTTTTTTTAAATTTATTTATCTCTGTTTACTTCATTTCATGTGCCAAATTTGCTTAGTACTGTTACGGTATAACAAAAAATTCATCACACTGTTTTGGCAGTTATTCTTTTAACAGCAACGACTTTATTCCAAACTTTTTATTGAAAAAAAACAAAAAACTTATTGTTGAAATTATGAATTTGTTTTTATCCCTTGGTCGAATCCTTACTACATCCTTCTTAAGAAACCCCTGGAAAAATAATCTAATAATAAAAAAATATATATTCTTTTGGTTGCTTTCGTGAAACATCAGAGGCTCGGGTTTCACACCAGGATTAAAAAAATATCTGGGTAATGCGCCAGGCAGGGGGAAAAAAATCAACACGGTTGCGCAATATCATCCCTGATTGCGTAATCAATAATGAATTTGTTTTGCCACATCGATACACAATACCTGTTTACACGTAGCAGGTGTCTGAATCCTCCTCTTTCCAATCGAGAGAGTATTTCAAATTGATAATCCCATATTGAACGAGTGCTTTACTAAGTACATATAATATCTGCATACCTATTGTTGATTTCATTTAAATTTTGAAATATCTGAACATTTAACGTTGGGATATACAGATTAAACTATTGAAATAGTACTTTTTTGAAAACCTTAGGTAACACTTAATCAAATTATTTACTTTAAATAATTCAATTTTTTGCAATGTATTTGTTAAACAAGATATTTGATGATATTTTATTTTGGATTTCGTTGCGTTTAATAAACCATGTTTGTGTGGAAACTGTTTTTCCTAAACAAAATACCTGGCAATGTTTAGGTTTTTCAAGTGTCTTTATTTTTAAATTAACGGTTTATTTAATAATTTAGAATATTAAAGGGTTGAAGGCCCACGGTCGTCAGAGATGACGGTTGAAATTTACCCCGGGTCTTGACAACCTATTAAAAGGAGAGAACGTTGAAAGAAACCGTTCGTGAGAAACTGTAACCCGCTTTTTTCCTACACAGTTGATTTTTCAATTAAAGACCTTTGAAAAACTAAAGAGAAGGTGTCGTCGAGCCTCATGGAAATATCAATCAAATCTTTAGCCCAGTGACATGACAATTAGTCAGTGAGTCTAATGAGATGGCGTCCGAAGGTGAAGACTTGGCGAGCACCTCTCACCCGGCCAAACCGAAATAGAAACTCTTTTGCCAGCCGGGACGCAGGCCCTGTTATAAAAATATCTGAGATGCGCTGGACCGGCTCAGTTTAATTTTCCGCTAAGATTTTTTCTACTCGGCTGGCCCGGATGTGAAGTACTAATGTCAAAACGACCGAGCCGACTTTTTCAATCAACGGTCTTCTTGACCATCTGAAGACCTCTCGGAATCTTTTCAGCCAACTTAAAACTAAAAACTAATCAATTTCGATGCGAAACGCCATCTGTAAAAATTTAAAAGTTAAGAACTGTAAATAATTAACAATATAGAACAACGGCAAATTAAAAAATTAAAAAGCATTGAAAAAATCTGAAAGGTAACCTGTTTACCAACTCTTCTCAAAACTCTAAAAAACTAACAAAATTACCTATAAGCTCAAGGGCAGTGGTCTTTAGAAACCTTCAAAACAAATAAGTAATTTAAATACGAATCGTATCATCCTTCTCCCCGACCCATTTTGCAGAAGCGAGCGTTCCAAAAGGCAGCATCCTTGGCCCCATTCTGTTTCCAGTGTACACTGCAGGCATTCCTAAATCCCGACACAGTACTCTTTTCATAAGACCCCACCAACCTCTCAGCCAACCCAGGCCCAGTAGGGGCTTTCATTTACCTTCAGAACTATTTCTTCTTGAAAGAATTGTTGCAGTAACAGGATCGGACTCAACGAAAATAAATCTTAATAAATAACTATCACTCTCTGCTGTATTCCATCTCCTCCAATATACCACTCTGTTCCTCCTTCAGCAATCAATTCCCTCTGCTTTGGGGACTTTATATGGAAAAAATGCTTGGAATTCCCACAATAGGGTAACAAAATTTTAAAAAAGTGTTCTACCAAGCATTCAAACCTAAAAAAAATCCAGCCCGCTCCAGTCCATATCTTTTGAACCTTGCCAAAGATTCCTACTTCCACTCAGCCCTTCAAATCCTATTTGTTCATCTGCCATTTTCTAATTCGCAGTTTTTCTAGAAATTCTACATGATATTATCATGTACTATTAGCAGTTCTTTTTAAGCAATAATAATTTGCGTAATTTTATTTCATTCGTTATATTTTATTTTAAATAATATCACGGTAATGTAATTATATTTAAGAAAGGGTTTTCGGTAAAATATTCATCGATGACTTTATTTGGGTAAAAACTTGATTTATGAATGGCGGATACTCCAAGATTGAGTTTGATTCCTGTTGGATATTCAGAGGATTATTCAAGGTGTACAGTAACTTTAAGTGACAGGTACCAGGTTTGCCTAGTGTTCCGTTGTTTGTTGTTAGACGTTCAAATTACAACTACAACTAGATTACCAGCAGGCAGTTGTCTTCCGGCGAAGGTGGGACTTGTTGCATACCGTTTAAGGTTGCCCTTCCGAACATTCCCACCCGAGCCGGAGGGGTTGAATTTGCATGAGAAAACAATATTGTCAGACATAAGTAGCGAGCCGTCATCCCACTGTTATGATAATCTTAAAGTTAGATAACTCCCATAATCCGTTCCTAACCCATCCCCTTGGTTTAATAAAGAAGGTCGTAAAATACGACGAGGCCGCGCTTTAAAACTGTTTCCGCGGGGGGAAAACTGAATTTCAAGAGTACTCTTTTTATTTCCCCATCCAGGTTTTTTTTCGTTTTGCAGTACATCTTTTACTTCAGCATGCCTTGTTGTTTAGGAACTAATTTTCCTTACGAAACGTTACCGTTTGCATCTAAATTTTTCCGCCCTAATAACAGTTAAACATCTTTTCTATGCTTTTGCTTCATAATTTGAATTATAAGCTTGCAACGTGTTAAAATTCAATTTGTTACTGGCTAAACATGGAAAGGTTCATAATTAAAAATTAAAATACAAATTCACTAGTTTTCGTGGTCCTCTTGATCAATTAATATCTTTCAATTAATTAAGGTTTTTAATTGAGATAAAATGTATAAGTTGAACAATGGCAAAAAGGAGGGAAAATTCAAAAGGTGGGGTTGAGATGGGAAGTTAGTGTCCGAGTGGATCGAAGTCACGATATCTCCAGTGGTAGAAAGAGCGGCGTATCTGGCCAAAGATCGTGGGTTCGAATCCCGCTCATGACACTGACTTTTTTATCTCAACTAAAAACCTTAATTAATACAAAATATAGTGAAAAAATTGAAATTAAAAATAAACAAATCCTAAAAAATTGTCAAATTCATAGACCAGACAGGCAGAAGAAGACCTTTTAGAGATAATGCGGACAATCAACTTTCAGTTCACAAAAACATCAACAAAAACAAACATGTAACTACTACACGATGTAGATAAATGGACGACCAATAACACACAGTTTAAAGAATTACAGTCGGGTGACTACCAGTTATATAATAATGTAAAGAATTTTATAATAGTTTATCCCAATCCTAAACAATAATTGGTATATTCGGATTTTATTTAAGAACAAGTTGGGAAAATAAAACAATTTTTTAAAGGTATGACAGCTTTTTAACATAACAAACATTTCACCTAATATCATTACGACTATTCAAATTTTATTTAAGAACAATTTGTGAAAAATAAAACAATATTTTAAGTGTATGACAGCTTGTATGACCACAAAACCAATATTTCACCCAATATTAGTGGCATTCACGATCTTTTTGTTAACCCTGTTAACTCTGTTAGGTTGTGTTAGATCGAGAAAAACGATACTTAGACTTGTGAGAATCGGCTAGTTAACATTGCCGGATCTAACAGGACAGGGCCAATGTAGATGTCAGGTCGAAAATGTAGTCACATGGCTATCCGTTAGGGCTTAGGTAACCAACATGGCAGCCATGAATTTAACAGCTGTTTTGTGTTTACACGTATTTTTATTCTTAAATAATTATTAATTAAATCAGACCAATACTTCTTTTGTTAATTTCTGACCTGTTCTTATACTCTTATTCATAATAGATACATCCCATATCCTATAAAGTTGTAGCAGTTAGACTTTAGCATACAAGTTAGGTATGTCGGCACGAATTGAAGCGTGTCATTTGGTAGTATTTTTCGAGTGCATAGATAGCATTTTGAATGAAAAAGTTTATTAATTTTCCTTTTTTATTAACTTCTGGCATCTTACAATTTGACACAAAACAAACAACAACAAGCCTTCAAGGACTGCTATAGCTTTATTTTTGGTTCTACCAATCGCCACTCGCAGCATCTATTCGAGTTAACATTGAGAATACCACTTTATTACGACTACATTGGTCACTGCTTAAATTTCCCGGTAAGATTGATTTTAAAATAGCCAATTTCAATCAACATTATTGAAAAATTTTATGTTAAATACATTATAAAATGTTTGGCATTATATATTCTTATTACAACATCTTATAAAAACTTTCATTAGTTCTCAATGTTGTTAAAATATTGGTTAATGGTTTCTAAACTTATGAACGTTGAAGAAATAACAAAATTCTACTTTTCTGTTTCCAGGTCTTTTCCGAGATGAATATAATGTTCAGCGTCGGTGGAGTTTACTACTACGGAGATCCGATCACGTATGACTATATGGAAGATCGTATTTTCGAACATTCGAGGAACGTCTCTATCAAACTTCACCGGCGAGTTGGAAAGTTTGTTAAACTTCAGCTTCACTTCGCCGCCAGGTGGATCATGATCAGCGAAGTCACTTTCGACTCAGGCAAGTCTCGACCGAAATTGGGTTATACTTTACCCGGCGCGTTTTACGGATTCCGTCATGATTTCCGTGGGAGTCGATGTTACACAATAAATTGGGTCTAGGGAGACAAGATGACACAAAAGAGCTTGATGAAGAAGCAGCGGAATTAAGAGAAAGATGTAGATGCATATCTAAGACGTGCAGGAGCAGTTAGAGGATTATGTGCTCTGAATACAAGAGAGATCGTGACTTCTACCTTTCCTTGAGATATACTCATAAATTTGATCTTTTCTAGTTCGGAGGCTTTTACTCCTCTACTCGGCTGGTAGTATTTCAGTAAATTAAGGAAAATATTCAAATCAGTTGTCGTTTCGGGACACCCGTTTTAGGAATTTACGGCGGCTCGAATTAAGGGCGGTAATTTTCAAACTTACCCAATTAACGATCTCTGCGTTTGTCCTATTTCAATTAACCCTTCATTCCTTCCATCCAATTAAGGGATTGGATACGTTGCAAATATATTAAATTGAACAATAAACCTGCCAGCATTGCCGTCCGTTGAAAACTCCTGTTTTCGGCCCCATCTCGGCATACAATTATTTATATGGTGTTACAGTACAAACAATTCAGTGCGATCGATCCTTGGACAAGAGGCATGATTAAATGTTTTATGCAACTGTACGGGTACAGAAATGGGCAGTATCAAATGTAGTACAACCGTTTGATTAATTCTAGGCAAAACCAAGACGCCTCTGATATTGACCTGTGCCATTTACAGGCTGTTAATTGGGTTCATTTACATCCACTACACCACATTTTAATTAATAGGTTGACAATGCCGTCCCTATTACTGTTGTTAATGTTCCTAATTAAACAATTTCAAGTTTAAATTTGAATTTGAAACAGTTTTCCTCACAATAAGTGAGAAATCAGAAGAAAAGGATACATGATTTTTCTGTGGAATAATTTATTTTATTTTCTTCCATATTATCTGTTACGTATATAAACATATAAATAATAATTTTTGATTTATACATTTGTGTTCCATATCCCGTTTAAGTGGAAATTGGCGTATTTGGTTGTTTGGGATAGTAAACGAGAGAGCGAGAAAAAGATGTATAAATATACAGAGAGAGTTACAAAGATCATTGCAAAGCTGGATATATATTACTAAAAAAAATCTATATATATATTACTACATACAGATACATATTTGTTGATGTGTAAGTAAAATCAGGACGAATAAGGAGACTCCAAATTTTAACTATGAGAATGTGGCATAACCGGTCTCTAAATCATGTTTATTTTGGGTGTCCTCTCTCGTCCTCCGAAAAATTTAATCAAGCAGGTAACTATTTTCTGAATACAAGTGACCTAGCAATTCCCAAAATTATCCAAATCCTTGCTTCATCTAACACTTGGGCTCCCAAAATCACACAGTTCAATTTTTCGACAGTTTCAAGTTTATTGTATAGTTAGTTCTGAAGTATGAGGCTCAAATTTTGGAAATGAAATCGACAGAGTGCAACAAAAATATTTTAATCGTATACTTTATGTCCCTTCAACATTCCAGGACATTGTTTCCGTTTAGAAACAAGCTTTTTTCACACTTAACAACTTTCGTTTTTAACTGGACACCAACTTGTTGGTGCAAATCATTCTCACTGTCTAATGGCAGACTTTTAGCCTTCTTACTGCCGGTTAGTATAATTGTCTGAATGCAAAACCGTTATTTTCAACTGAGTAGTTTCTCTTAGGAACAATCTTTTAATGATTGGAGCAAAAGATCCATGCAGGGAGGAGATTCTAATATCCTGAAGGATAAAATGAATGATCTATTTAAAAAAAATTAAAACCAAATCACAAAACACTGAACACTGAACATAACAATCTAGAAAAACATCGAAGAAACTTGAGGAAGTGAACAATACGTGGATTTTAATTTAGAAGAATATTACAAAAAAAAATTTAAACTATAAAGAGGAAAAATGGCTCCATTTCGATGTACAGATTGCTCGTTCTTCCGTTTATATATTTCTTATTCACGAGTGTATCAAAATTACCAAAAAATTCGGTTAAACAAGTTTCATGTTAACAAGAGTCAACTGTATGAACAATTTATCCCGACTCTTTGAGTCTTTACAATATATTTTACAGATAGAATACAAGAAAAAAGTTTTACATTTTTTAAAAAATGTAAAACGTGAAATAAAAATATTTCACGTTCCAAAACAGGTGGGAGAGTGAGCGAGAGGGAAAGAGAGAGAATGAGTTACAGAGAGATAGAAATGGAAAGAGCGATAGAAAGGGAGATAAAATAAAAAAGAAAGAGAAAGAGCGAGAGAAAGGGAGATAGAGTAAAAAAGAAAGAGCGAGAGAAAGGGAGATAGAGTAAAAAGGAAAGAGAAGGGGTGAGAGAAAGGGAGATAGAGTAAAAAAGAAATAGAAGGGGCGAGGGGAAGAGGCGGATTCACTCAAATGTAAACTATACCTAATAGAAGACGTTTGGTCAAATTTAATACATTTTTATTGTAATGTCATTTTTTTAAGTTAAAATTTTAGTTTTTTTTTCGTTGGTATTGCAGTCAAAATGTTAAAGAAATTCTCTGAAAGAACTGTTATGCGAAGTTATTCCCCATCCATTAAGCAGTATTGGTGTGGTGGCTGACTGGAAATTCCCATGTATAATATATTTAATAACTGCCCGTTTTTGACGATGGAAAAAGGCCAATGAAAAGTCCTTTTTAATTTAAAAAAAAGTTACATCCGAGATGAGACGAGGCAATTAGTGAAAAATTAATATTTCCTAATATCCCAGGCGCTTAACAACTTAATAAACATTCAACCGCCGGTATGGACAGGTCCCAACATTCGGAAACTTAAGCACCCGGGGGCAGGGAACACGTGAATCACGGTTTTTAATAAAAACTCTTCGGAATGATATGTAGCCTCTAGTAACGAATGGAGGTTTTTTGTGCTTGTTTTCCCCCCCGAAGAGAAGAAGCAAATGAAATCCGAAGTGAGGTAACCATTGTCTTGTTTTTTCAGATCATAAATCTCCTTTTTGGCCGCCTATATATATTTTTTTACCGCCATTTAAATAAAACTCCATTGCGATTTTTCTTTATAATTAAATATATTTATCTAGATTTACAGGAAATACACTGACGGGCAAAAAATTCCGCCCACTTGTAATATACCTTGATTTGTATGTATTTATTATGTATTAATCAATGTTTCATGTTTTTCAACTTTTAATAATTGAGTCTTTGTTTAAAAAAGTAAATTGCAAAGAGAAAAAATACCGACAGAGAAAATTTCTTTTAATTTTGTTTTAGATTTTTAATTAACATTTCAATATCGCGTATTTCCTCCTCTTGCCTGAAATTACATCTCGAAGAAGCCTCGGCATACTTTCTACCAGTCTGGAAATGCCTTTTTGCTGGAGGTTAGCCCATAAAGAGTCCTTTCAAGGTCGTGGAGTGTATCAGGAAGTGATGGACATGCTCTTATTCGTCTTTTATCCCAGGGTTATCCCATAAATGTTCCATGGGGTTCAAGTCTGGAGAACGGGCTGGCCATGCTAAGACCCTGATGTTATGCTGCTGAAGGTACGTTTGTCTACGCGAGCGACATGTGGACGGCCATTATCGTGCAATAAAATAGGGTTGTCGCCGATTTCATCGAGGATAGGCAACGCATGATGTTTCAAAATTTCATCCATATAAAGAGGGGCCGTCGATGACGCTCCACTAACAACAAGCAACTCTGTGCGACTCTCCATCGAAATTCCTGCCCACACCATCACTGAACTACCTTGAAAAGCTTGGCTCTGAGAAATTACAGACTTCGTACCTTTCATTTTGCCTTCTCCTCACTCTTTCACGTCCTTCTGGAGATCGTAGAGCAAATTTACACTCATCTATAGATCAAACGTCCAAAGACCAATGTCTGTGTCTCGACCAAATGCGAGCCGTGCAACTTTGTGTTCTGGTCAATGCTGGTACTCTTACAGGGTGAAAAGCCATCAGCCCATACTGACTTAATCTTCTTCGAGCAGTGCGATCAGAAATTTGGACACCTCAAACTTCCTGGAACTGATGAATCGCATGAACAGCTTCTCAAAGTAAAAAAACGGCCATCCTGTCGTTCTGGTACCCTTGGGCGCCCAGAACTGGGTCGTTTGTGGTTTCTATTGTAGATTTCTTGAAAACGTCTAATGGCATATCGCAGAGTTTCGTAGAGAACTCCGATGGCAATAGCCGCATACCTGATGGAATGTCCATCATCAGAGCCACACCACGCGCAACATCCTCAGCACTAAGTGGCATTTTTAAGTTTAAACATCGAAATTAATAAAACAAAGATGAAAATTAAACAGTTTATTGCTTCGGAGTTCAAATCATACTGAATAAACATTATAAATTCCGTAAAAATTAAGTATTGAGAAATACTAAATTCACTAGTTTTCCTGGTCCGCTTGACCAATTAATAAATTTCAATTAATTAAGGTCTTTAGTGGAGAAAAAAACGTCAGTGTCACGAGCGGGATTCGAACCCACGATCTTCGGCCAGATACGCCGCTCTTTCTACCACTGGAGATATCGTGACTTCGATCCACTCGGACACTAACTTCCCATCTCAACCCCACCTTTTGAATTTTCCCTCCTTTTTGCCATTTTTCAACTTATACTTTTTATCTCAACTAAAAACCTTAATTAATTGAGTGTCTAATTGATATTCCCAATTTAAAACTTAGCAAAAACAAATATTTATTGATAAAAACGATGAGACAAATTTAGGGCAGAATTTTTTTTATTCAGAAAAAAAATCAATTGGGTGAAATTTTTTAGCTATCTATGTAATTTAAACGATTAACCTTTTCTAATGTTAAATTAAATTTGAACCAATTTACCTGTTAGGATTAAAATCATTATTCTGTTCTTTTTTGCGTCTCATTTTTAATTATATAATTATAAATCAAAATGATATGTAATTTTATCTAGGGCGTTATTAGGATTTTGTTAGTTAAAAATAGCGGAATTAATTCAATAAGAAGGGGTTGTACAGGTTTGTTTTGGTTGAAGGAGGGAGGGCTAAACCGCATATTGTGTATGCTGAAGACAAGAAACAAACAAGATATTGTGCAGGGGTTTATGATTCGCTACGTTTCTTGCCCTCGGGGGAATTCGATGTGAAGAAGCCCTATTTACCCTATACTAATTGTCAGGATACCTCCTCCGTTATGTCAATTGGGGGGGGGGGGGGCTTTGTACGACGGTATGCCCATATCACCCGGAATGCCAATAACCCCGACGTCGTGTTCCAGAGCATTGTTTTCATCGGGTCGACATGTTCTGAATGCCCTGTTTTAATATAAGTCCTTCTCTCTCCCTTGTACTTTCTCTCTTTCTCTATCTCTCTCTCACCTCACCCTCGTGTCATACCTGCCCATATTAGCAAAACGGACATATGCATGGAATTCTGAAATGGACACATGCCCCAAATTCCGGGTTCGAAAACAAAGACACTCCTCTTGGTCCCTTTGAATCCATTTTTTTTTAAATTCAAATTCACATTCCCCCCACAAACTTCGAGATGCACATCAATCTTTGTTCGGATGAAGTAATTAAGGCGCGTATTTTTTACAATTCAAAGAGAAGGAAAATGAGGAGTTTAAATTTGTCAATCGTTTAATAATCACGAATAACTATCCTGATGACGTGAGAAATAATGATGGTACAATGGTGACTGTTCTCATCGTAGAGTCAATAATGATGAAAACGCTGCAATTATTTGGTGCAATGCGACATCGTTTCAATATTCGTCGATCAATTTAAATCCTACAGCTGCTGTAATTTTTCTGAGTCCATTTTTTAAAAATCATGCCGCCGAGGTTGAAGCTCTTGAATAAATTTTTATCTGATAAAAAAAAAAACAACTACGTCGCCGAGTAAAGATATTCTAAACGTGGACATTTAAGGCGAGGTTTGTTGTTGAACGATAACGGCCGCCAAAGATGCCTTAAAGGCCAGGATAGATCGACTGTTAAAGGGCCATATCTCTCGTGTTACACCTTCTATGTTGACAGTACAAAAGGGCGAGTTCCATTATTGGCAATCGCCGCCCAACCACATCGCGTCTTCAGAAACCCCTTTACCGACAAGTCATCGCCTCTCAGGGATCCCCCCCTTTTCGCAACACTCTTGTCACACTAATTTGGTGTCTTATCTTACAGATATCGCTCACGGTAACTTCACACCGGAAATGCCGCCTAACCCCGATCTTCCCGTACAGAGTGACGTTTTCGTCGATAAGGAACAAAACAGACCGCAATCTGAAATTCCAGGTAAGTCTTAATTCTAACATTCTAATGTTAGTCATAAAATGAATTAACAGTACAACACTTACTGTACGCAATACTAACGAATTTTGAAAATTCAAACATAAAGTTTCAAAGTCATAACTCTTTATTAAACAAATATTTCCAAAACTCCAACTATTCTAAAATATTATGAAACACTAGTTTTAAAGAGAAAACAATACGATTAAATAAAATAATAGTACCGAAAAAAGATAAATTTTAGAAAATGTCGAGGTAGGTAATGATGGATCAGTCATAGTTTATCAACCTTTTCAAAAAGATAGTTCCTACTCACAATAAGTTGTTCCCAACGATCCGGATTTCGGGCTTTTAGCTCATCATCAGATTGAAGGAGTCCTACGGGCGGCGGCGGTTTAGGTTTGACGATTTAGGCATTGACACGGTGCTCATCACTGCAAGGTAAAGATCCCGGGTTCGAATCCAGCGGCCCTGCATTCAAACCCGACATACTTACAATTTTTGTTTCTAAAGCACCGGCACTCCGAGGGTTCAAATAACATCGTATTTGAAATACCCTTGGAAAAAATTGTTATTTATATTTAATAAAAAATATGTTTANAAAGATAAAATGAAAATGATACCTTAATAGTAGATTAGTAAATTAATGATAAAATTAATAAAAATTAAATTAATTAATTTTATTATTTTGTACGTTTAATATTATTTATATACATATTTAAAATAGGAGGTAGATTAAAATTTATTAGATTATTAATGCATTTATCTCTATGATCAATTTTACATTTTTTAATTTCAAATTTTCAAACCAATCTAATTCCCTCCCTTTGCTGAAACTATGTAACACTGTTGTGTTTAAATTTAAATTGTGTTTTGTTTCGTTTAGATCCTGGTCCTTAAATTCCGAAAATTTGGTCGAGGCAAGTGTTCTTTAACTCTCGTTTTTACTTCTCTACCGCTTTTTCCTATATATTTAATGTCGCAATCATTACAATTAAGTTTGTAAAGCCCGCCTTTTGCCAAGTTGTCTACCTTGTCTTTAGGGTTTGCGAAGATGTTTCTAAATGAACACGCAGTTCTAAAAGCTAGTCTTAAACCTTCTCGTTTAGGAATTTTACCTACTTTTTCTGATAGTTCACCAATGTACGGCAAATAACGGTAATTCATTTTCCGTTGGGTAGCTGAGTCCTATTGTTGCTTCTTTTAATGTTAATTTTTTATTCTTTTAACTAGCAACCTATCAATAAATATTTCTTAATATCCATTTTTTGCTAAGGTTTTAATAGTTCATCATTCTTTTTTATATTTCGTAATTGTTAATGGGAGTTTTAACATACACTCTATGAGCCAAACGAAACCAGCCGCTTGTTTGGTCCATGGGTGAGGAGAATCCGCTGGTATCGTATTGTCTGTAGTTGTGTGTTTTCTCTATATGTCTATTTCAATCAGGTTGTTTAATATGGACAATTTTAGGTCTAAAAACAGTACTGTCTATAGTTTATCACCTGTACAGTTTATTGAATAACTACTCAGTGTATTTGCTGGAAGAACGACGGGAAATGTATGAACTAAATAACTGTTAACCGACTACTGTTAAAGTTAAACAGGTTCAAAGTTAAATTTAGGCTCATTCAACTTTGACGAGCCAGTTATGGAAACAAGATGTCCTTTGCATGTAAAGTCTATTTTCGACAGCATTCATCGCAGCATAATATGAGTGGTAAAAAAATGCTGAGGTGTGTGATAAAGAGGTTATTTAACTACTTATTTTAAACGTTGAAATTATTTTGATTTTATGCTGAAAAAATAACTGCAAATGTTTTTTTATCGTAAATTTATTACCAAATTGAAATGTTTTTTCAGTTGCAAAGCAGGACGACCATACGTACATGGCAGTGATAATCGGCATCCTAATGGCGGTGATAATCCTCCTCGCCGTCTGCATCTTCCTCATCGTATCGAGACACCGGCAAAGGAAGTGTTTCGCTTCCCCTTTGGCGGCTAAGACGGCCTTGGGCACCGGTGGCCTGTCTTCGGGTTCTTCCTGCGGCACGGCAGAAAAGGCGTACAGCTCCAAGGGTACTTTGCCGATGGCTTCGGGCGGCGCTGACACAGCTCTCCTCATGGACATAAAAGCGGACGAGTACCAAGAACCCTATCAAGCTCTGAAGTACGCCCCGTACTACAGTTACAGCACTGTCGTCATGGAAATGAAGGATGCGTTGAATAAACAACCTCACCCCTCTGGTATGTAAACAACTTCACAATAAATTAATCAAATATTTAAATATAAATTAATTTAAATGACCATTCTGACTATACGACTAACGACCAAATAGAACAACACCCCAAATAGAAAATTGTTTTATACCTGTACAGGGTGTTCGGCTACTTTGCTAGTAGAATCAACATTAAAAAAAGGAATGAAAAATCCTAATTAATTATGGTCCTAATCTCTACTATATAAATTAGTATGTTTGGTCGACACGAAAACTCTTTTGACTCTTTGATCGAAATTTTCCAACAAATTAATAGTTTTCTATGTAATAAAGTCATCAATGCCCTTTTTAACGAATACGTTTTTGATGTGGATTGCCAACTATCCAATATTGTGCCAGTAACCTTTGTATTTGCTGGTCAAAGCTGCATTAGAAAAATTTATCTAAATCATCTTCAGTAATTTTACATAATACAGAAATTCTTTTGATCAAAGAAGCAATATAAAAAATGACAAGCCAATTACAAGTCAAAATCAAAAATTCACATCAAAAACTACTAAATAAGGAGACGATAGCCAAATTATCAGAACGGACAGCCTATTCAAAAAGGAACCAAAAAGTCCTAATTAACTATGGTTTTAATCTCAATAGTTTCGGAGTTATTTCACTTTTTCTGATTTTTTTAAGATTTCACGACCTTGCTTCAAATGAACAATGATAATTCCAAAATTAAAGATTTTGGACAAATCCGGTAATACCATTGAAAAGTATGCTAAATTTCCAATAAGATGTGATCAATACTAAACTTGTAAACGTTCGTGAAATAAGGGTTTTAGTAGCGAGAACTTTGAAAAAAAAAATTTTTTTTTTCAAAGTTGAGAAACTTACTATGGTGATTCTAGACTACTATTTCCAAACCTAGAGACTAGCAAATTTCAGAGAGTAAGTACTCCATTTAAAACCCTTTTTATGGGTGTAATTGCTTTTTTAGTTACTTTTTCAAAGATGAGGCAATTCAAGAAGGAAAAGAACCGTGGTTGAAGAATTGGTAAGGTGGAAAATTTGAAGAAAAAACTTAAGGAAATTTTGAATTAATTTATTAAACGTTAAAACCGTTAAATTAAAAAAGAAATTACACTACTAAAAGGATATTAAATGGAGTACGTTCTCTGAAATTCGCTGGTCTCTAGGTTTGGAGTTAGAATCACCATAATAAGTTTTTCTACGAATTTTTTTTTTTTTAATTCTCGCTACTAAAACACTTATTTCACGAACGTTTACAAGTTTAGTATTGATCACATCTTATTGAGAAAATTTAACGCAGTTTTCAATAGTATCAACGGATTTCTCCAAAACCCTTTAGTTTTGGAGTTATCGTTATTTATTTGCAGCAAGGTCGTGAAATTTTAAAAAATCAGAAATAGTGGAATAACTCCGAAACTGCTGAGATTAGGACCGTAGTTAATTAGGACTTTTGGAATCCATTTTGAATGTAGAATCTACGAGCAAAGTTTGTCACACAAGTAGCCGAACACCCTGTATATTTTTCATTCATTTTCATTTCATTCTTTAAAGAAATAAATTCATTTATTTATTTACAACTACATTTTAAATATGGAAGAAGCAAAAATATATAAATTGTTATTATATTGGAAATACATGGTCACACAAAAGGGAATCTAAGGATGAAGGACGTCCATGATGGGACGTTAGTTCACCAACAGGATGGAGATTACTTAGCAACCGTTCCTTTATTTAATTTTCTTTAATTTTCATACATTTGCACTTAAATGTTTATGTAATAATATATTTACATTTTTTAGATACATCATATGATTATGCGGTTCCTGATGTCAATGCTGGTACTTTGCCACTGTTACCTTCTGACACCCCCCCGATCCCCGTGGTTCAGGATAAGGATTCGCTCTATCTCAGGGGAACAACACGTTCAAAAGAAGAGAAAAACAAAAAGGTGATATTATTACATTCTTCCGGAAAGGATCTATTTCTATTATGTTCCTTTCGGCCAGCATAATTCCAACTCAACAGACGGTCAGACCGTTTATTTATCTTCTTCTCATAACCCCCGGTGGATATTTCACGTTTACGAGTCCCCCTCTTCCCGACCCGTTCTTTTTTGTGCTTCAAGAATTGCTTTTCTAATAATCCTTCCCCTTCCTCTTCATTCGGAAAAGTTGGGCTTGTTTGCCCGGGTCTCTTCATCAATGCATTACGCCTCGGAATGCTGATCTGAAAAATATTGCAGTTTGCCTCGTGGGGCGGAGTGTTATTGAAAGGAAGAAGGAAAAAAATTTCAAAAGGACGGCGTCTCAATAAATTAAGTCATGGCTAAGTCGGACCTGAATCTTCTCGTGTCGCTCTCGCTATATCGCCGACGTATCGGAACGAAAAAGAAAAGAAAGCGTAATATATTACGCAGTGCCCAAACGAGAACGAAAAATTAATCGATAAATGGCAAAATAGTCCTTTTTCTCTGTTCCAAGCGTTTCTTGTATTTTCTTTTTTTTTACTGTAAAAACCAAACTTCAAAAGCCCGCGGTTTTTTCAATGGGTTTCCAACATTCCGCTTTCAAAGGGGAATAACCAAGAGGGAAATAGGCTTAAACAACTCAGGTCTAACAACAAAGGTGCTTCAAAACTAACTTAAAGCTTAGAGAAAAAACTCAATGCATTCCAAGTGTAATTTTACACCAAACAAAAATTTATTGAAAAAACAACCCAAATAAGAAAGAATTATACTTCTTGTACTAAAAATTCTCCTAAATAACTTATACCGTAATATATGTATGATGAAATAAAAGAATAATATTTCGCTGCTTAATTAGTCCCACTGAATTGGCACAATTTTATTTTCTGTTTTGTGTTGTTCACTAATGCTCTCTTTTATTTTTTATTAAGTTCTTTATTAACTTTTAATCTTCTTAATTGTATTTATTCATCCATTTTTTGCTCCCATACCCTTTATAATGCCTATCTTCACACCCTCTCACTCACTCTCTCTCCCCCTCCCCCTCTCACTCGCACTCTCTCCCTCACCCTCTCTCACTCTCTCTCTTTCTCTCTCTCTCACACACACACACACACACACACACACACACACACACACACCCTCGCCCTCTCTCTCTTCGCCCTTTCGCTCCCTCCCTCTCGCTCTTGCTCCTAAAGCTCTTACGTTTTCTCCAACCGCTCAATCTCTTTCATTGACTTTTTTGTACATAGGAGGGAGAGGGAGAGGGAGAGGGAGNAGAGAGAGAGAGAGAGAGAGAGAGAGAGAGAGAGAGAGAGAGAGAGAGAGAGAGAAGGTTTAAAAAATAAATCACAAATCTAAACAAATTAGCGATGTCTATGTACAAAAAAGTCAATGAAAGAGATTGAGCGGTAAGTATTGAGAAATAGGTAGACATCGTTAAAAATTCAGATTTTCCATCCGACGATTGTTGACGTTTCCGATTTATGTTTGTTCAGATTTTTCTCGGCTTCGATTCGAGTAAGTTTAACAAGTGTTTGTCTTTCCCCTTTCAGTGCAAAAGCGTTATTGACTTTTGCCGTTTACTTCCTTTAACTGTAGATCCTTAATTAAATCTTAAAGGAAACATTTACAGAGAAAATGAACGGGTCGATCGGTGAAGCTATACGTCTCGTGCAGTCTCGGTATTGTCCTTTGGCAGAAACACCTGAACAAAATTGTTCCGTTAGATAATAATTAGATATAGTTTGGTTACTTCCGATTTCCATGGAGAAGAAGCGTTTCGGCGTTTCTCCATTGTTATGTAAAGAAGGATTTGTCTGTACAAACTGACCTTTGAAAGTGGTGAAATGCTAAAAAACAGCGAGGATAGGCAAACCAGGATTGCCGAAAATGACCGACAGGCTCGGTAGACTTCAAAGAGAAATCTTAGAAATAATTTTATGTCACTGTTTGTTTCAGGCCGCCAGTCAACAGGAAGTTCTCACAGCTCTGAAGAGAAGGCTCGAACAGACGACCGTACCCGAATTCCCAAGACATAGATTGCGCATGATTACTCAATTAGGAGAAGGAGCTTTTGGAACGGTACTTATCCTCACCTTTTCCTAATTATTTTATACTATTTATTTTAAAATTGTATTTCTCGTGTAGGTATACGTCGCAGAAGCCGACGGCATCCCAGAATACGGTTTGAATGCTAGCCTCGGAAAAAGATTGGTCGCAGTCAAGTTCCTTCTTCAAAATGCCAGTGAAAAAGAAAAGTAAGACAACACTGACATCTCTAAATAAATCAAAGGGCTTCCCCTTAAAAATAATTACCGCACCCCAGCTTACTTGGCCTGCACCTAATGCACTCTTCCCCACACTGAAGATGAAAGCTCAGTGCTCAGGCCGCAACTCCCGTTCACTTTTCGCCCACATACACCACTGTAGCCTTTGGAGTTGCTTAATGTTATTTAATTCAATGGCAATTCTCCTCCCTCTTACGTAAAAGAAATAGTGTGTTATCGTAAAAATGTAAACATTCTTACAATCATAAAATATGATATCACCCCGAAAACAGCCTCTGTCATAAAACATCTAAATTTGCTGCAAAATGGCTGGTTCCTTATTGCACAGCAATTTAACCAAAACCATATATTTTGGTGAAACGCAACAACCATGTTTAACCTTGCCTAATCTCACTTGGTCAATCAAATTTTATCATTTTACATCTTCAGTTTATGGTTTATACAAACAACCCACCTAAGATTGCAAGCTGCCAAATCAAGACCATCTGCTCAGCCTACACTTACTGCTTCAGCTCGTCACTCATTTTAGCATTTTTCCATCTTCATAGGCGAATTTATATTTGTGTGTGTCACCAATGAAGATATGTTAAACTGATTGGCACTTGATTACTCTACTCGGCCACTCAAAGTTCCTAATTGAAGATGGCATGAACCAAAATGTGTTTGAGAGACATCTAAATCTGCGAGTAAGTGTAGACCTTGTAGAGTGATCAGTTTTTAACATATGTTCTTGACTCACATGAATGAAGATAGCATTGTGCAATAAAGCCCTTGACAGAATGAACAGCAGGACAGGGCCAGAAGGTTGGGTAGATACCGGCCAAACTAGATTCATCACCTCGTACACCTCAAGAACAAATATCACAACTAATTGTCTATTAATTATCCATTTTGCTTAGAATTTAAAAAAAAATTGTATAATGTATGTTTCTGTGTATTTTTTAAGTTTTCCAGCTCTTTGTTGTGTCTGTTGAAATTTATTAAAATAAAATCCTTGATGAACTCGGAGTGTTTAGCATTTTTGTTGTTGGACCGGCTTCAGGCTCTACTGTTGCCCTTTCTCAATAAATTTATAGAAACTGTTTAAAAATATTATTAAATAATTTTTTTTAAACAGTTTGTAAAATTATGAAATTATAGTAATTATTAAACAGTTTGTAAAATTATTTAAAAAGTACACAACGTACATTATATTACAGACAATTAAACCAGCTAAAAATAAAAAGTAAATTGTGGGTTATGTAATATTTTTGTATTGTGTTGATGATAGAAAAATAATAAACACAGTCTCCAATTATGTATAAAAACCAATGATATATCAACTACAGGGATTCATAAAATATAGAATCAGGATTAGCAAGGCTGATGTTCCTAAATGTTCTTATATTTGATCTAATATAGTCAATATTATTGTTTAGGTACATTAAAAAATGCAAAAATAATAATACAATAATATATAATGAGGTTCCATCGCAAAGAGGTACAAACCTTGAAAGAAATATCAATGAAATTAACACAGTAGATATAAAATTTATTAAAATATGAACCTTTAAATCTATTTAAATTAATTAATCTTTTTATGTAGGTATTGGTTGAAATGAAAAAGTTAGTGTCACGAGCGGGAGTCGAACACACGGCCATCGGCTCAATACGCTTCTGCTCTAACCACTTGAGCTATCTTGACAATCAAGTGGTTAGAGCAGTGGCGTATTCAGCCAAGGGTCGTGCGATCGAAACCCGCTTGTGACACTCACTTTTTCATTTTAACCAATACGTTACATTAAGATTAATTAATTGGAATAAGTAATTTGGTCATTCGGACCACGAAATATAATGTTTTTAAATGTATTTTCTAATAAAAATAATTTTTTATTATTATATTATTTTTTTATTTGCTTATACAAGAAAAATAACAATACTGGAATTAAGCTTAGGTTGTTGACAAAGTTTCATACAATGCAAATATTCTCATCTTGATATTTTGATTGATTTGGTTAAGAAATCCTACAAATGATAAAAGATTGAAGTGGAGCTGCGTGTTTGCCTGAAAGCTATCTACAAAAACCAAAAACAGATGAGAAACTTCAAAACAAAATATATACGTAATTAGCCAGTAAAAAGAACAGAGGTCATAAATTTCTATTGAGTATGTAATAAATATTTTAATATGATTATAATTAATTTTGTGAGAATTAAAATTAAATTATAGGCTTTTTAACTGTTCATTGATATTAAATGAGAATAAACTATGTTCCAGGACTTATTCTTCAATAATTAATTTTGAATATAACATACAAAGATGTCTATTCACAAAACTATACACGTACAAAATGGAAATATTCTAATATGGAAATAAAAAGAAAAAAGGGCAATTAAAGATTTTTGGTGTCGAGATGTATGGACAAGATATATGGCAATTTTCAGTAGAAGACATAAAGGTGGAAAGAGATCGGTAGGTAGAGCAAAATATAGAATTTCACGAGTTGGAATCACGGAACATAGTAGGACGCTCAAAACGTTTGTTTTCTGTGTAATTGTGCCATTCTTGTGTGTCGTGTTGTCAATATTTCACTGCCACTCTCAACACGACACACAAGAAAGCACAATTACGCAGAAAACAAACATTTTGATCCCTGAAGATGATCTCAACAAAGATCGAAACGTTGGCACGATAAAGAAAATGTTTTTCTAAAACTTACGTCACACCAGACGCATCTCACGATCTCTTGTCATTCTTATTTACGTATTCTGTTCCGTTATCAGATGGAATACACTTTATTTGCTTTCTTTTCTGTTTTTCTAATGAAGCCATTACTGAGGAGCTACAGAATCATGAAAAAAACGGAACATGGGAAATGGTACCTAAACCCCAAGGTTTACAACTAATTGATTCAAAGTGGGTTTTTACTGAAAAGACCATATCAAATGTGCCAATTAAGAAAGCACGCTCAGTTGCACATGGTTTTCTTCAAGAACTGGTTGAAGATGTTAATCTGTATGCACCAGTAGCTCGGATGGTGACACTACGAGCACTATTAGTTTTTCCACTACAGCAAGAATTAATACATCATCAGCTTGATGTAAAAGTATTTCTGAATGGGACTCTGAAGGAACCAATTTATATGAAACCTGCAGGACTAAAATAGATTCAGGAAGGATATGTTTGTAAATTAATCAGGTCGTTATATGGATTAAAATGTGCACCAAAATAATGGAATGATTGTTTTAATTCTTATATTATGAAAATGGGTTTTGTAAGGAGTAACATAGATCCTTGTTTGTATAAAACGGTTAATGCATAGTTACTAATGTGGGTAGATGATATAATTTTAGTCACTGATAAAGATGATGAATTTTCAGATATTATAAATGTGTTAAAATTAAAATTTGAGATTAAAGAAATATAAATACTAATGGGAAGAAAAATAAATTTCTGAGAATTGAAATTGAAAGGGAAAATGATAAGATGTATTTATCACAAAATGATCTAACTGATAAGATTTTAGATAAATTTAAGATGACCAATTGTAAAGAACGTGCTATACCTCTGACTGTTTGACTTAAATTTGACTTAGTTAATTATAATCCTACTAGTTGTGTTTTGCATTATAGAGAACTGGTTGGAAGTTTAAAGTATTTGATGTTAGGTATACGACCAGATTTATGTTTCGTCTATGACCAGATTTATGTTTTACAATTACATTCTTCAGTCAGTTTCAGCATAATTTCAGTCCAACACAGTGGAAGCATTTGAAAAACGTTTTAAGATACTTAAAAGGTTCAAAAAATTGTAAATTGATTTTTCAGAAGAAAAACGGCAGTGATTTTAACATGAATGTTTTTGTCGATGCAGACTTTGGATCAGATGTGAGGGATAGTAAAAGTATCAGTGGTTTTGCCATTAAGTTAAACAAAAACATATCATGGAAGTCAAAGAAACAAACAGTTGTTCTTTATCATCTGCTGAGTCTGAATATGTCTCACTATCTTTGGGTATCACTTAATATATGTTTTTAAAACAACTCTTTGAATTTATCACTGGTAAAAATAAAATGAAGATCACTGTTTATGAGGATAATCGATCTGCAATTAAAATGGCAAACACCCGTGAAACGAAAAGGAGTAAACATATTGATGTTAAACATCATTTTATAAGAAACTTAATTTCAGAAAATGTTTAAGTGAAATATATTCCAACGCAAGATGAAATTGCGGATATTATGACAAAAGCAATCCTAAATGTAAATTCAGTCAGTTCAAAAAGTAATTAGGTCTAATAGATTTTTAAGATTACTATTAGAAATTTTAGAATTATGTTTATATAAATAATATTAGATTATAAGTTATAATGTATAAGTTATATGCGAATTCTGTGTTATATGTTATTTTTAAATTACGTTATTCAAGTTCCTTGTAATTGACTGATAATATGAAAGAAAGGGTTTATTCATTTCTAAAATTTAGGGAGGGTATTGGCAGATAAATTTATAAAATGAATTTCAATTAATTAAGGTTTTTAGTTGAGATAAAAAAGGCAGTGTCACGAGCAGGATTCAAACCCACGACCTTCGGCTAGATACGCCGCTACTCAACCACTTGAGCTATCGTGACCTCGATCCACTCGGACACTAACTTCCCACCTCAACCCCACCTTTTTTTAATTTTCCCTCCTTTTTGCCATTTTTCAAATGTCGTGTAATCAATTTGATTCTCGGCGACAAATGAAATGGCCACGGAGAGCTTTAGTGAAGTATACTTCATTTTAACTCATTAAAATCAAATTTTTCGTTTATTCCTCCTGTGCAGTCACAATAACTTACTAATAGTATATTATTAATACCTTTAAAATTTATCATGAAAATACAAAAATAAATAAATAATATTTTGCAAAATATAATTGAAATATGGCAAAAAGGATGGAAAATTGGAAAGATTGTAAGTTGCGATGAAGAGTTGGTGTCCTAGTAGATATGTCACGATAACTCATTTATACCGTTCTTGGTTTTTGGATGGTAAAGAAGGGTTAAAAAATAAAACAAATGCAAAATCATTTTCTTGGGATTCACATAGTAACATTTCAATTTGTCTCATGCGTGTATGCATTATCTCTTGTGTGAGCTGGTTATGGAGCCTTTTGTACTATCCACTAAATTAGCACAATTGTTCTCTAAATGTAGCATGTCGTCGATTGTCATCTTTGTGACATGAACAAATGTGAACATGAAACAAGTCAACTGGCACTCAATATGGCATTCAGTGAGGAATTAATTGACAAAGGTGTCTTAAGGCCATCGTCTTTTAAGACCACGTAGCATGTTTCAGGATGGAAAAGTGTAGATATGTATTGGGAAGTAGGGTTAGGATGGATTGAAAGCTGGTGAGGATCCTTTGGAAGCTGGACTGGATCGATTTGTTGACAAAAGGAATGTTAAGAACTTTTTAGATAGTAAGGTTTGTGACATAGTAAGGAATTTTGACAATTTGTCTGAGGATGTTTTATTGGAAATATTTGATGCACTAGATATTGTTTGGCTTGGTGGAACAGTTCCACTTCGTAGGTCCAGAGCGGTTGCAGTAATGTATAGAATTATTTGAATTTTGACAGACAGAACAGATTTCTGTCCTAAAATTTTCCATCAAGTCTTCCGTTAACTTGTTGTCTATTAATTTTTTTTTAGTTGTCACCTAGTAAAATATTAATTTTACAATCATTATATTTTATGTTTCTGTTTTGTTTACAAGGGCTGATTTTCATCGAGATGTGAGGATCCTTGGTGCTCTTGAGGATATAAACATAGCCCGCGTTCTTGGTGTATGCAGTCGTGATGAACAACTGTGCGTTGTAATGGAATACATGGACCATGGTGACTTAACACAATTCCTCAAAACTCATGTCCCTGCTGATTCTTCCAGACCACTGCCTCTAGGCGTTAAGACTTTAAGGTAAAATTTTTTACTCTTGAAGATTAATTTATTAAGGAAAAGTCAAATTGAATTTATGTCTAATTTTTGTTAATTTTTTTTTCTAGTTTCAACTGCCTTTTGTACATGGCTACGCAAATTGCATCTGGCATGCGGTACCTCGAGTCGCTGAATTTTGTACACAGAGACCTAGCTACAAGGTAAATGAACAAATTCATTTTCCCGAAATCACCTCATTCATTGAAAAATAATAATAACAAGCACAGTCTATTTGAACGCTTTGATTGGTCCGACAATTAAGGCTCTGCGGGCCAGCGTCTGTGTGGAGGGTAACTGTGGTCTACAATATTTACAGGCCCACATGCTTGGTCAGCCATAGCAGAGGTCAAATATTTGACCGACCCTTTTTCCCCTTCTCCAATCTCTCATTAGTAGCTTAAACCCTCTCTTTTATAAGCACACAAATCAATAATTAACTGCATCTGTAAGAAAAGTAAACATGAAAAGTTTATACAGTAAGGAAAGAGTTGTAGAAAGTATTAAGTATATAAAGTATATATTAAAGTATTACAGCATAAAAATAAAGCTTAGCATAAACATATTTTTTTCTGTTTAGAAATTGCCTGGTTGGTAAGGGTTATCAAATTAAAATATCTGACTTTGGAACAGACAACGAAGCTTATGCATTAGATTACTATAAAGTCAATGGTACGATGGCTCTTCCAGTTCGCTGGATGGCATGGGAATCTGTATATCTTGTAAGTAACCCAATTTTTAGCATATTTTGCTTAATTTATCACCCATTCTTTTTATAAGAAAAAAATTCACAATTCAGAGTTCTTATTAGCATGTATATACAAAATAATAATTCTGGGTTTGCTTCTAGGGAAAATACACAATCAAGAGCGATGTCTGGTCATTTGGAGTGTGTCTTTGGGAGATCCTAAACATGTGTCGAAGGCGTCCATTCGACTCAATGACTGATGCTGAAGTAGTTGAGAACCTCGGTCACTTACAAGAAGATGAAGCAGGGTTTACACCATTGCCCAGGCCCCCGCCACCATGTACCAAAGATATAGTAGACCTTATGGCTGAGTGCTGGAGGCAGTCTGAGCACCAGAGGCCGACGTTCTGTCAAATACACCTTTTCTTGCAGAGAAAGAACTTGGGTTATGCGCCGACCACGTGAGATACACCTTCACCGGTGAATTGTGCCATATACATGAAACCGATTTTACCAACCAAAACTTGTGTATAAGGGATTATTTATAAAACAATTTGTATCTACTTTGCACATTTCATCACACCAAACGGTTTGCATCATGATTTCCACCTCAAGATTATCAATGACGCAGACCTATTTTTATACATTATCTTGTAGCCCATAAACAAACTGACATCAGAGTAGATAATAATGTATATTCGATGGAGCTTATTTGTATTTTTATCATGAGCACACCGTATTAGCACGTAAACTTAAAAATTTACTTCCATGTTAACTAAAACACAAGAATATAAATGTACTATATCCAATTGTTGGTGTTTGTGTATTCTTCATTTTTATCTAATTTTAAGAAAGTGAATGACCAAATCGGATGATGAATAATATTTTATAATCATGTAATTAGTTTGTAAAAATACAAAAATCATAGAATACGTGAGAAAATTGTATATAAATGAATATTAAGAACATTCTAATTGAGATAAAATGTAAAGTTTATTTACCGGGAAGAGTTTGAATGTTATTTTTACCACTACATGATTCCATTTTATTTTTGCATTCACTCTGATAAAAAAGCCATAAAATGCATATACATATTATTTATTTAATGCTTTAGAAAATTATTGTAAATATTATTGACTTGTTTTTAATAAAAACATATCTAATCAAATCTAATGATGAGACAGGGAACATGAATAAAAATCATATTTTATTAACAAATTATAAAAGAAAATATGACAATAAAATATATTTATGCAGTTCATAAATTATAAATTGCTATTTAACAGGAATTAATACTTATTAATATTTTAATTTTAGAGGGTATCTAGAATTTATAGCATATTTCATATTAAATAGAGTGTTTGATTTAAAAATAGCATTTTTTTAAATGATTCAATTTTACGTTTTATTATTCATTAGCTGATAAAAAGCAATGCATTGTGGCGACAATCATACTGACTGCTAGAAAATCCTGCAAAAACTCTTTCTCTTCTTGCATAACTGTAAATTAATGACACTGTTTCTATCGATATTTACACAATTGACCTGGAAACTTATTCATTTGCCGAAGAGTTTAATATCACCGTACTAAAGTGGAAATTGATATACAGAAATTTTTAAATGGAATATTTTAGGACAGGTTTATTATTATCAAATACACTGCATAAAACTGTATTTTTCAAATAATTGCTAATGGAGTTTCATGTATACGGACCTAAATAACATTAAATTGTAGAATTATAAAAAAATCGAAGCAAATAACTTTAAAGTAGAGTTTATTGCTGAATTTCGTAAACGATAGGTAAAATAAAATTGATATAAGGATTTTGTATTTGCTTTTTGTATGGTAAACTAATAAAACTATATATAGATTTTATATTGTATGGTTTTTTTTATAATTATGTGATATAGCAAGCCAACCTCTGTTTGGTTATAGTTTCCGTAAGCCTACATTGTAAATAAATTTCATAACTAACTTATGAGTTAATGTAGTACCGACTTTTAGTAATTTATTCTGTTTCAAAAGAAAACCATTGTCTGTAAAGTGAATTTCTTTTTGTTATCAATACTAGTCATAATTGAATAGGTATTAATTATTGTAGATTGAGTGTTGAGAAACAAAAGGCGTGACTCTACAGTTGTACATTTTAATGTTGGGTGTATATAGTTTTAGGTAAGTGACATATTTGTACTAAAACAAACAGATAATATATAAAAGTAGTAGATATTTCAATGTATATACATATAATCGCCTCGTTGTAATAAGTAGTTTGGCACGAAATCACACAAAAAAAGAACTTGTGCACATTCAACTAGTTAATTTTTAATATTCATAATGTACAACTATTTTCTTATGAGAATACAAAAAATAAATGAACATTTATGACAATGTTCACTGGGAGGTGCCATGTTTACTTTCTTGTAAGCAGTTAACCATAACAAAAAAAATTATGTGCACAGTGCACATTTAAGTTCAAGTAAAGTGTGTTTCTTAACTACCTAAACTACATATCAGACTGTATAGTTTCCTGTTTTATTAAAATAGGGCACAATACTCATTTAATTATAGGAAAAACATTAATTTTTTTCCTCTTTGATTATTTTATTAGTATTTCAATTTAAAAAAAAAACTTAGTATATAAATTTAATATTGTTTTTAATCATGTTAGTTTTCATGATGGTATTCTTTGGAAAAAGAACTGAAATATCATACAAGGATGCCACCTTCAACGAAGCAATATATTATTGAATGTAATACATATGATTTGAAATAGATTCTTTTAAGAATGTTGTGATACACTCATTTGTAATTCTTTTAGCTTTAATGATTTATTTAAAAATGTATATACAACAAATTTTATTAGATAAAAATTTGACCACACACACTGTTTAATAAAAATTATACAAAAATAAATTATGTTTTTTAAAGACCCTTCAACTTTTCTAATTTAGAGTATGGAAGTATTTTATATAATACTATATTTGTTTATATTTAACTATTAAATTTTAATCATTACTTACATACATGAGCTTTTAGCTAAATCCCCTGGGCATTTAGGTTAAGCAAAATACTAGTGGCCCAGCCATATAGCGGGGTAGGTGAACTCCCTGATGTATAGAGATTAAGGTCAGCACATCGGGGAGTGACAACCCTTCAGAGTGAAAGTCCAAATAATATTAATATTCAATGGAGAAGCTCTCGCGTATCAAGAGCACTATCGATGGGAGGCCTCCGGAGAACATGACTTGTTGAAGAAGGGTTATCCTCACCCAATTAAGAATAGGCCAAGTGAGGTTGACACACGGAGACACGGAGACTTACTTACCATGTATGGGTCTGGCATGCAGAGAAAGGTTGCTTGATGTATATGTAACACATAGTATGTATATTTATGTAATATGCGGAGATATGAATATTAGAATTAATTTAAATGAATACATTTCTAATGAATACTTAAATATCCTGTCCCATCATGGTTGTAATTGTCCTATAAACAAACATACTAGGGCCCAAGATTTATCTAAAAGTATCATTAATCATATATTTTAGAAAGGCTTCAATGGTTAGATAATAAAAAAAAAATTATATATCAACCTGGCACTACTGACCACTTTCATGTAATTGTTTCTATTATTTTAACAATAAAAATACTTGTAAAACACCAAAAGAATGTATTGTAAACTTTGATCTCTTAAAATATTTTTTGGAAATGGAGAGTTGGGAAGAAATTTAAAATTCACAACTTTCAGTAGATAAAGCTCATAATATTAACAACACTATGATATTGGTAAAATCATAAAAGAAATTCATAAAAATAAGGAATGGATTACTAAAGGAATTATTACTTCTATTAGAATATGGGGCTCATTACATCGAAAAATAGTGAAACCACCCTAACAACAAAAATAAAAAACTAAACTTATTTTACTCCAAATGCAGAAATTCTTTAAATAAAATAGTAAGAAAGGCAAAATATAACTACTATACAGGCAAAATTGAATCAAATAACCTTAAAACTAAAAATGATGGAATTAATTACAGAAGTAACTAATGACAAAAGAAAATTTAATGATCAAACTATTAATACTGCTATAAATTAGAAAATTAAACAGAAAATATTGAAATAGCAAACTACATTTTTTTTGCCAATGTTGGTCCAAATATGAAATATATTATTTCTTCTAAATCAACTCACCTAAAACCAAATAACGAAATCAAGAGACTATCATGTTCAACCTCTTCAATATCAAATTTTTCTTCGATAAAATCAATATACTTTCCTGGGGTATTTATCAAATTTTGTATTAAAAAAATTTCTTGGACAAAAATTTGGAACATTTCCCAACTGAATTTAAAAAAATCTATCCATTACATAAATCGGGCAGAAAAAATTATACTAACAATTACAAACCTATTTCCCTTACACTACCACCAAGTAAAATTCACTAGTTTTCGAGGTCCTCTTGACCAATTAATATCATTCAATTAATTAAGGTTTTTAGTTGAGATAAAAAGTCAGTGTCACGTGTGGGATTCGAACCCACGACCTTCGGCTTGATACACCACTAATCTACCACTTGAGCTATCATGATTTCGATCCACTCGGGCACTAACTTCCCATGTCAAAACCACCTTTTGAATTTTCCCTCCTTTTTGCCATGTTTCAAATGTCGATTAATCTATTTGATTCTAGGCGACAAATGAAATGGCCACGGAGTGCTTTAGTGAAGTATACTTCATTTTAACTCATTAAATTCACTAGTTTTCGTCGTCCGCTTGACCAATTAATATCATTCAATTAATTAAGCTTTTTAGTTGAGATAAAAAAGACAGTGCCACAAGCGGGATTCGAACCCACGACCTTCGGCTAAATATGCCGCTACTCTACCACTGGAGATATCGTGACTTCGATCCACTCGGACACTAACTTCCCATCTCTACCACACCTTTTGAATTTTCCCTCCTTTTAATCGGTCAAGTGGACCACGAAACCTAATAAATATTACTTGTCAAGGTAAAGAAAAAATTCAAAATTGAGCGGCAATTGCTGAACGGTTGGTATCGGAGTGATGAAGATCTAAGAGCTACCTCTCTTTACTTGAGAACGGTTCATCATTCGCTCAGTGAAGTAAATTAACTCTCTTGATCAGCTCGCAAGCGTACCCATCTCTAGTTCCAACATACAACGAATCAAAATTTTCCAATCTAAAAAAAATTCTAAACTTGATGCTGGGTTTGGTCTGCGGTCGATGAAATCATATTGAACCGGGACGGGTTATTTATTTTGGTCCGTCCTTACTTGTGGGTTTAGAGAGCCAACCAACCGGAGAAATAAAACGGTAGAAAAATTCTTAATGCTTTTTTTCAACCTATCCAATGAAATAATTCATAATGATATTAATTATACTTTTCCTACGCAACACCATTCTATCGAGATATGGCAAATTACACAAGTCACTTCCAAACCAACATTAACCCACTCATCCAACAGCTCTCATTCCGCCGATTCTTCTCATACCCTCCATGTTTGGTAAAGAAGGAATGGGTGAGGGATTTCCAGTCTGGTGATGATAGAGTGAAATGTAATTTGGAATGCTACCGGTTAGTAATTTTTTACTGACGTTTCGACCTTTATTGGGGTCATCTTCAGGGAATAAAGTGTGGGCTATTCTTGTGGTGTAATATTGGTGTTGTGTGAAATTGTTGAGAAAAAAAAGATGAGTAGTTTTTTCACCCTTTTTTTAATTTTATTATATTTTGTTTCTGTTGTATGTTTTTTAATTCAAAAAGGGGGTAGATGTATTCAACTTAAATAAAGCACACCAAATATCGCAAAACTTGAAACATAAAAATAAATCCTCAAAGGATAAAAATTTATCGAAATCGCATAATTTCTAAAGAAAATTATAATTATTTATGTATAAAATAAATAATTCATGAATCACCTCACTAAAAAATTATTTTCAATTTTAAATTGAAGCTGGGTAACGTTACTATTTATCGTCTTCATTCCAGATCCCAGAATGAACAGTGAAAGTAAAATTTGAACTCGGGCATGTGGACAATATGGAAGTGACATTATAAGTGAAACTGACAATAAAAGGAGAAACGACATTTCTTTTGAGAAAGGAATACATTACGATTTGCATTGCTTTCAAATGTTGATCCCAATTTCTGGAGAATTCACAATCGACGAACTCTCGATAGAGTGGAACGGTCCAAAATAACACAATTATAACAACAATAATACCGATTATCCTTCATCTGCTGCTGATTAACTCATAAATGGCTGTTTATTTAATCGAACTTAATATAATCACTTCAGTATAGTGCAGTAATAAGAGTACTAAGACAAGACATTGACAACTCAATAATATCACACAACACCAATATAACACCACAAGAATTGCACCACACTCTATTCCCTGAAGATGACCCGAATAAAGGTCGAAACGTCGGCAAAAAAATGAAAAATGTGTTTGTCTAAACTATCTCGTTCTTGACTCACGAATCCAACAAATTATTACATAATTTACAAAGTTTAAATTGGCTTCTGTCAAAATAAAATTCCAACTACCTTTCCTTATTCTTTATTTCAAAATTTGTCGATTATTATATAATTAAGACAACACAATTAAGCAAAAGTTTTATGTAAAAAGTACAAACAGGAGATTTCATAGTTTCATTTTTATAGAAGCCCACGTTTTGAAGGTCGAAGCTTTCTTTTCAAATAGTGTTCAGGAATGGTATCGGTTTCTACTTTGCTCACATAAATAATTGTATTATTTGTTAATAAGTAAGATAAAATGTTAAAAATCTTCTGTACAAAATATTAATATTTAAATATAAACATTGGACCACAGTTAAATTTTTAAATGTATGTTTCCCAACCTGCTTTTATTATTAATGGATTTTATGACACTTGATTGCAATGGATAGGCCATCTTGGCTACCTATGATTCAACGACCGTTCCATTTCATTTCGTGACACATTCTAGGGTTGTGCATCCAGGGTCTCACTCGAAATGAATCACCCACGGAGGCACTCCATCTTAGAAACAAGTGATTAACGTTTCTCAGACATAAAATACAACCAAACACCCAAAGTAATCTAAAGTATATTTATTTATTTAAAAGTTAGGTTTTTAATCATAACGTTTGAATACGTAAGTGAAAAAAACCTAAGGCATAATAGCAGATTTCTGATCACTTTCGTAATTTTTCTCTTTCTGTCAATCACAATCTCTTCCTAACATTCTCTCTTTTTTGCCTCTGAAAGTGTTCTTGTTCTCCGTCTGAAACAATATGTTTATCAATCTCACGGTAATATTCTTTCACCCACTCACCTTTTTCTGTCATTCTTTTTCCCTCTTTTTAACTTTCACTCACTCTTTTCTATTTTCTTGTTCTCTCTCTCCTTCTATTTTTCTAGCTTCTCTCTTTCTGACGGTTTTTCTTTCTAAAACAGTCTATAATCACTCCAACTCTAATATTATTTCACCCGATCACTTACTCTCTCTCTCCCTCCTTCTCTCTCTCTTTCTCTCTGACGGATTTTCTTATTCTCTTTCTGAAACTATCAGTTAGTCACTCTGACGCTAATATTTTTCACTCGATCATTCTATTTCTCTTCTTCTCTCTTTCACTTCCTATCTTCTTCTCCCTCTTTCTCTTTTCCTCATTTCCTCTCTCTCTCTCTCTCTCTCTCTCTCTCTCTCTCTCTCTCTCTCTCTCTCTCTCTCTCTCTCTCTCTCTCTCATTCACTACCAAACTAACTCATACTATCTTTCTTGTTGTATGTTAGTTGTTTGTTGGTTTGGGACTAGGTGAACTGATCCTATAAGTGCCGTACAGCGAGATTAGACGAACCCAACAATATGA